CCCCCACCCCGGGGATCACGACGGCAGGCCCCCACCTGTTGAGCTGCCTCTGCAGGGCATCCAGCCTGCTCTCCACGTCCCCCCGGGGCCGCCGGCCGGGACTGGCAAGAGGGATATTGAGGAGGCTGGGGGTGGGGGCGGGGCAGCGAGGCAGCTCCTGGTACTGGCGGCCCCGACTGTCCCCCCAGAAGCTGAAGATGTTGGACACTCCCGAGAAGGCGCCTGGAGCCAGAGAGCTGGGTTGAGGCGGGGCCGGGGCCACAAACCCCCTCCCCCCCCACGGCCCTCGCCCTACCTGACAGCGGGTTGCAGGTGTCGCTGCTCTTGTCACAGTCCTCCAGCGGGGGCTCCCCGCCCAGGGGCTCTCCTGAGGGCCTGGGGCTGGAGAAGGGCACCAGGCGGAGGGGGCTGGAGCTGCGGCCTGGGCCCTCGTCCTCACTGCTCTCCGGGCTGGAGGGGCCGCTGGACAGGCTCTCCCCCCACGGCCCCCCTGGCCGGCCCCGGCCACTGGGCCCAGCCCCAGCCCGGCCCGGCCCCAAGGCCGACAGCTCCCCTGGCTGCTCCGGGTCTGTGGGAAACAGAGAGGGGGGTCAGATGGGGGGCTCCGACGGGGGGCTCCGACGGGGGGCTCCGACGGGGGGCTCAGAGAGGGTTTCAGACGGGGGGCTTCAGACGGGGGGCTCAGACAGGGACTTGGGCAGGGGTTTCAGATGGGGGGCTCAGATCGGGGGCTCAGACAGAGGCTCAGACAGGGGGCTCGGACGGGAGGCGGCACAGTCAGGGCGCAGGGCCTGCCGGGCAGGGCGGGGTGGTCTGGGCGAGGCACGCCAGGGCACCCTGCTGGGGGCAGCCCGGTTCCTTCTGCTCTGCTGCCCCACTCACCCCGCAGCGCGGGGCCCCGGTCCTGACTGGGGTCACTGCCCCCTCAGCCTCCTCTGTCTCCTCTCCATGAATCAGTTCAAGCAGGTGCGCACCCAGAAACCAGCCCCACGGAGACCCAAGGGGCTGGGCTGCTGCCCCGACCGCCTGCCTTGACCTGCCCCTCGCTCACCCTTGTCCGTGCGCCGGCGGAAGGACAGCTTGCGCTTGCGCTGCCGGGTGAAGCCGCCGTCCAGCTCCGCGCTGCCGGGAGAGCCGGGGATCATGTTGGTCTGGAAGCAAGAGCCGGGTCAGGGCCCCGCGCCCACGCCCGCCCGGCCTGGGACCGGGGAAGACGCCCCGGGGCGTTGACGGGGGGCTGCCGCCAGGCAGGCCGCAGGGGGCGCCCACTCACGTCTCGCAGGTTGAAGGTGATCTCCAGGCTGGACCAGAAGTGGTCAGAGAACTCGGGGTACATGTCCAGCACCTCCAGCAGGTCGTCGCGGTGGATCTTGTGCAGGTCGCAGTAAGTGAGGGCCCGCACGTCCCCGTTGGACTTGCCGGGTCGGGCGTAGAGGTTCAGGGGCTCCCCGAAGATGTCGTTCTTCCCTGGGGGCCGCCAAGAGCACGGAGCTCAGCCCCTGGGGCGCTCAGGGGCAGCGTGGCACCCAGCGGCCCTCCGCGCAGCCAGGGCACCCCAGCTCCAGCCGGCCCTTGGCTCCCGGCCCCACGACAGATTGTGCCAGGGCTAGAGGGCCAGAGAGCCAGACTGGACGCCCCCCCGCCCAGGGCCCTGGCATCTCTGGGCTCCGGCTCCGCTCCGCCTGCCGGGCCCCCAGGCCCGAAGCCCTCGATCACTGCATCCTCGTCACCACCACGCCTCAGACCCCTCCGTCCACTCATCAAAAACGGCAGTGAACTCAGACCAGCACGTGTTCACTGAGAGAAAACAGGCAGCGCTGAGCACGGCAGGGACAGGCAGCCCCAGGGGGAATCACGTGTTACAGGTAAGATGTGGAGGCGTTTGCAGACTGAATCATAAAAACCAGACAAAAGAGGCCCTCCCTGGTGGCGCAACAGGTTAAAGCACAGCACTGAGAAGCTAAAGCCGCTTCCGCATGAGTTCGATCCCCGCCTGCCCCGGAGGTGACCACATGGCGCGGCAGACCTCTCCTGACCGCCCGCTGCTC